GACTGAGACAAAATAACATTCTTAATTTAAACTGCTTATTGAAACAGTTATATCTCAAACCATAGAGTAATTTTTTTGTGGTAGTGGGGACTGGGAGGGTAATCATATGTTCTGATAGCCATCAAAACCAGGTTCATGAAGAGTCTCCTAAAAGGGATATGGATTTGGAGGCAAAGCTTGTCGCAGCTGCTGTGCAGTCTCTGCCCTCAGGAAGTTCTTATTTCTCTGAAGCCGATATGTAAACATGGAAGTACGATATGTGTGTATGTTCAGTTGCTTGCCATATGTTATTGAAAGTATTATAGTATATGTACATCCTTGATTCCCACAGGTGAAAAGCCTCCACTACATAGTGAAGTTGTAGGAAAACTGGGGCGTGAGAGGATGGTCATTCCAGGCCTTGAGTGAATCTAAAGAATTGGCCACCAAGTGAGGGTCCTTGGCTTATGGCAGGAAAGAATTCAAGAGTGAGACATAAAAGAGTGAAAGCAAGTTAGGAAAGATACACGCTCCACAGAGTGTGGGCCCCCTCAGAGGCTAGCATGGCCCTTGGCTGTGGAGGGACTTAGTTTTTAAGGGCTGGATCATTTCATAGGCTAACAAATGGGAGGAATATTCTTGGAAAAGGAGTGGGATTTCCATGAATTGGGGCACTGTTGACTTTTATGGTCAGTTTCAGAATTGTCATGGAACCCGTGGGTGTGTCATTTATCATTCTAGGCTGGAGGTCTATTGGCAGTCAAATCTTCCGCCATCTTGGACCTAGTTGTTCTGAGCAATTTATGGCGTACCCTGTTCTTAGTGGTGGTGCCATTCTTCTAATGGTTGTGCCCTGCCTCCTTCTGGTTTCAGAATTATAAGAGAATCTTCTTTATGACTGACCCTTTAAGGACTCATTGATGAAGTTATGGTGTATACCATTCTCCCGAATTCTGTGTGTGTGTGTGTGTGAGAGAGAGAGAGAGAGAGAGAGAGATGTTTGCCTTCAATAATCTGTGGGAAAAGGAAAAGTACAGTATAAAAGCTCTTATGTAGAAGACATTAAATGTTGAAATGCTGTATTTGCATCTGAATTTGCTGCTTAGGGTGCCCTTAATTGCTGATGGGACTTTGCCTAAATTGTCTAAATTCCTGAGCCTGAGTCTATTACCTCATTTAAAAATGAAGAAGGAAGTGTTGGGTTTCTACAATAACCACACTTCTTTAGCTTTAAAATGAGTGATTTTCAAAACAAGATCAAGGTAAGGAATGCTTGTATAAGACTGGACTCTGTAGGTCTTTCAAAGAATAACTTGCCCTTATTGACTGACCATGAACCTAGCTCCATGCATCAACCCCCAACTAAACAGTCACACAGCCACGCATAAAGTTTATTCCCTTTTGCTGTAGGCTGAAATATGTTCCCCCAAAGATATTTACCTAAAATCCCTGGGGGGAAAAAACGTGAAGTGAAAGTGATAGTTGCTCAGTTGTGTTCAACTCTTTGCAACCCAATGGGTTGTTACATAGCCCATTAGGCTCCTCTGTCCATGGGATTTCCCAGGAAAGAATACTGGAGTGGGTAACCATTCCCTTCTCCAAGGGGTCTTCCCCATCCAGTGATTGTACCCATGTCACCTGCATTGCAGGCAGATTCTTTACTATCTGAGCCGCCAGGGAAGCCTAAAACTCATCAATGATACCTTGTCTTGACAAATGTAATAAAATTAAAGATCTGGAGCTGAGATCAACATGGGTGTTCTGGGTTGGCCCTGAATTCAATGACAAGAGATTGTGTTCTTGTGAGACCCACACTGAGGAGAACAAAACACCAGGGACAAAACAATGTGGTGATGAAGGCATAGATTGGGGAGTTTTGGCCATAAACCAAGGAAGCCTAGAAATGTGGATGGCCACCAGAAGCTGAAAAAGGCAAGGGAGGACTTCTCCCTACAGCCGTGAGAGGGAGGATGGTCCTGCCCTGGCAACTAGATTTTAAACTTCTGGTCTCTGGAACTGCGAGAGAATAAGTTCCTATTGTTAAGTTACTGCATTTGTGGCATTAATAATTTGGCATTATCGACTCAATGGACATGAGTTTGAGCAAACTTCAAGAGATAGTGAAGGACCGGGAAGCCTGGCACATTGCAGACCATGGGGTCACAAAGAGTGGGACATGGCATAATGATTGAACAACAACAACAACAAATTGTTACAGCAGCCATGGCAAACTAATGCAAGATTTCTATATCTCTTTGTTCAATTAATTCCTGCCACCATTAATACAAATTTCAATTCTCCATACCCTCAGAGGAACTATTTTAGTAGGATCTTTTTTAAATATTGTGTTTTTTCTCACCTCCTGCATTTAAGATCAATCTCACCTTCCCCTTTCTCCAATGACATTTTATTTATGTTTGTTAAAATACTTATACTATTCCACTGTCTATCTTTCTATCCTGCCTCAGTACCCTACCTGAGTATTGGCATAGAGTCAGCATTGTATAAATATTTCCTGTTCACTATGGGACTGTGACTCATTAATGCTGGATTAGGGCCATGCTTCAAGGAATTATATACAGTGCCAGCACCCAACGTCCTGAATATTTGGCTGCTATCTTGGAAGTCACATTATGTATTCAGTGTCTTAAAAAATAGGTGACTGGATGACTTGGTGGAATACAGGTTGTGAGAAAAGAGGGAAGATTTAAAAACTAACTTTAGATACTATAGTTACACTCAGTTCAGTTCATTTCAGTCGCTCAGTCATGTCCGATTCTTTGTGACCCCATGAATTGCAGCACACCAGGCCTCCCTGTCCATCACCAACTCCCAGAGTTTACTCAAACTCATGTCCATCGCATTGGGGATGCCATCCAGCCATCTCATCCTCTGTCGTCCCCTTCTCCTCCTGCCTCCAATCCCTCCCAGCATCAGGGTCTTTTCCAAGGAATCAACTCTTTGCATGAGGTGGCCAAAGTACTGGGGGGCTAAAA